CCTCCTGGTGACCAACCAGCCTCTCTGGTCCCTGCTTTGAGTCTGAACCCTGCCCAGTGTCCTCCACATCTTCCATAGCTGATTCATAGGGGTCCTCGCTATCGGAGTCCATCAGCAGCTCCAACGGCTCCTGCTGGGCCACAACAGACTCCTTTGCAAAACTACAGGAGGGCTGATATCTTGCACCCTCCAAAACTCTTTCCCTTAATATTTGAACTCCTCACTCTCCTGAATTCTTGGCACCCTGAAGTCAAAGTCGCCACCACTGCTACTACTTTATCCATCTTCCACCTTTACTCTAGGTTTAAAATGCTACGGCTATCAATCATGCCCATCCCAAATATGTTTTCTTATTATGCTAAAGGTTTCCTAAGTTTTTCCAACTTTAAACAATGGGAAGAAAGGTTCCACAGCATATGTACATGGAGAGTACATGTCATATACATTCTGAATTTGAATTTTATCAAATCTGCTTAGGACCTGTTAGTGCAATTATTAACTAAATCAGATATGTATGGAAAATAATAACCCAACATCTTCTCTGACTGTTTCTAGATCATCAGCATTTTCAAGCCTTCATACATACATTTGGGTAATTCAATTTCTTCAGGGTTATCTGTAGTTTCCCCCCCTCGGTTCTATTTATATTCTGCAATTAGAGTCAAATCTACATTTTATGAGCCTAGAACTTACAGAGAAACCTCAACCAATGCTCTTCTTTGCTGTCCGCAAACTTTCTACAGTTGAATGCCCAGCCTGCTGAGTTTCAGATGACAAATTCACAAAAACCCCTTCAATCCCCTCTCTAAAAAATATTTTTTTATTCATCAGTCAATTGTGCATGTGTTTGCCACGTATCTTGAAATCTGCAGAAGCAATAAAATCTTTCTTGGGCTCTATTGAGGTGGAAATGAAGAAGAGGGAGTGTAAAAAGAAACAAATGGATTCCCTGAGAGTCAGCTTTAGCATCATATTAATGATTTAATAGTAATAATTGGATGAAGAAATACTGAATGGATACCTGTAATAATGATAAGAAGGCATTTTATCCATCCTACATTCTAGAATAAGATAAAGAGAAACCTGAAAAGAGGATGCTATTGCATGAATTCCCCATATGATCTCATAAAATAGGATGATTTGCACAATAAAATCTTTACTGGAAGCATTCTGTATTAGTGATCAAATAATTTAAATAATATTGAAAATACGTGAGGACCCTCAGTTTTTGTATATGGAACTACTACAGGTCTGGAGAATTAAATTGAAGTCAGTAAGGAGGTACAAGAGTCTTTTTTTTAAGTGGCGCATGAGAAGAGCATTTCAATAAGAGCCTACAAGAAAAAGATGACTGTGTGTCAGTAATAACGATGACATTTTCAATCTTCAGCTTCATGGTATTGCATGTCTTTTATCAAGTTAATTTAAACAGCTCAACTTTCAGAAGGAATTTAATTTACATGAGTAGAAAGTACAAGTATTCTTTCAGTCTGTATTTATAGATCTTTGTGTATATCTAATTGCACTGTATCTTAGATGTGTCCCTAACAAATGCAAAAACTTCAGTAATATTATTTCATTGAAATATATTATTAATATAATGCTCAAATGTAATAATTTGTTTTAGGTATTTAACCACCCACCTCACCTCTTTAATTGGCCCATAGTTTACAAATTAATCCAATGTTTGGATTTGCATTATACCAATAAACTAATCATATAGACTCTTTTCATACAGTCTGTCATGTTAAAATGTAATTGGCTAAAACTCATAATTCAATAA